TGCGCCCTTCATCCACGCCGCCGCCGCCGCCGCCGCCCGCTGCCGCTGCCGCTGCTGCCAACGCCTGTCATCCTCGTCCTCGTCCTCGTCCTGACCCTCGTCTGGCCTCTGGCTGCAGCCGCTCGCTCGTCACTGCGATCCATAGATCCCTCTCCCTTGCCTTCTCGCCTTCGTCTGCGCACCTGCTGGCGTCCCAACCTACCCCCTTCCCCCTTCCCCCCCTTCAACCACATCCGCTCTGCACTCTCGGCAGCTCGTCTCTTGGCACCTCGGCCAGGCGCACACCGTGTTCGCTCGGTGGCAGACCAGTCGCGCATACAGTGCGGTCCACCGGCTTTCAATACCTATACGCCTTTGCGTATCCCTCGCCACCTCTAGCGGCTCAATCGACCATCTTCCATCTCAAAGCATCTTTCTCGTCCGGACCGCATCTCTATACCAGCCCATCTCCACGCAGCCTGCCATGTTCGACGTCTGTTGACCTAGGCGAGCCACCGCGGCCCTCTGGCGCTTTCCGCTCTCGCTTTCGCCATCTCCTTACCCATCCTTGGCCGCGCCCGTCTCACCACTATCCTTACACTTTGCGATCGTCTGAACGCCAATTCGGCCAAGCGGCATGCTCGTGTCCTGCGAGTAAAGTCCAGCTTCCTTCGGTCGGCACACGCGCACACACGCGCACACATTCGCACAAGGCCTGGTTTCGTTTGCATTCAGTCCAAAGTCCTTCCGCACCTGCGCATAGCTTAGGACAACCTCAAACTCATTCATTCCGGCATCAGTTCCAGTTATACCACCCTCATCAACACTGCCATCATGGTCCCTTCCACCCTGCTTGCCGCCGCCAACGAGCTGCGCATCGATACGTCGTCCGCCAGCCTTGCTGATTCCGATTCCGGCGCAGAGCTTCCTGCCGTCGAAGCTGCGCAGCTCTCGCCCAAGATGGATCGCGTGCGCCACCACCTCATCCCTGCACGCACCACCACCTGCGTCCGCGCTCCGTGCCTCAAGCGTCAGGCGTCGGTGCCCATCTCGAGCGTCTCGGTCGACTTGGCCGCACAACGCCTCCAGCCCGCTCCCATCCACGACCGCGTCGCATCCAACCCCCTGCCCACCTCGTTCGCCGCCCCTCGCAACCTGTCGCTCAGTGCGGGTGTGCGCCACGTTCACTTTGACGAATCGCCACCAGAAGAGTTTTACGTGCTCTCCGGCGCCTCGTACGACCGTCGGCCCATCAAGTGCACTCAGGGCGGCTCCGAGTTTGACATGAGCCTTCCACCGCGCTCCACCTCGCACAACGGCGACGATTCGGCCGAGGACGACGCCTCGTCCGTCGACGAGGCGGCAAGCGCCATGGAGTCTGCCGACGAGCCTGCTCCCGACGTAGGCTTCTTCCGCGACCCTACGCTCGAGAACTGGGCATGCATCAAGAACGGAACGGTCATCGCCTCGGTCGGATACCAGCCTCGCCAGCAGCAGTCGGGCCTCATGGCCAGCGGCAAGTCTCTCCACTTTTCCGCACTCTCGTCGTTGCAGCATGCATCCGCTCTCGCATCCGACGATTCCAAGACGTCTTCGACTGGCTTGGACAGCTCCGGCCTGTACAAGACAAACAACCACGCATCGTCTCAAAAAGTCAGCCTACCCGTCCACGGCTTCCGCTCGTTCGGCGGTCTGCAGAACAGCCTGGCGCCCGACCTCACCTCGCCGCCCATCCCCGCCGAGCCATGTCGACCTCCAAGCAAGCTGCCGCTCAGCCCCGAGACCACGCCGCCGACGCCTCGCCACGCTTCACCCGACGCCACGCCCATGCCGAGCCCGAGTCTGCGCAAGTCGATCGGCGCGTACGCAAGCGTGGGCTACTTTGGCATCAGCTCGGATGCCTTGCAGCAATCCTCGCTCTCTTCGGGCAGCGTGGACAATGGCCTCAGTGTCGAACCGGTGCTCGGCGCGATGGAGGTGCTGCGTGATGTGCCCAGCCCTTCCATCGCCGAGCCACCAGCAGAGGTTCGCTCGCCCGGCTTTCCTGGCCCAGCACGTCTGCCGGAGGGTCCAAGCAGCGCGTCGACGCTCGCAGGAACTTCAAGCATGCCGGAGGTATCGACGCAGCAGTTGACGCCGCGACGCGTCGCTATGGAACGGAGACTCGCCGATAAGGAGACGACGCGCATTTCGACTCTGCAGCCTCCGGCGCACTCGCACGCGGGCGGATCGGTAACGTCTCTGGGCTGGAACAGTGTGCTGGGCGCCGCTTCGTCGCCGCTGTCGTCGCGCTGCTCTTCGGTGGATCCGTGGAGCAGTCTGAGCAGCGACGGTGATTGCGACGGCACCGAATCGCCGGGCAACGAGAACAGCTGGAACAGCAGCAACTGCACCAGCCCGGACCTGAGCCCGTTTGAGCAGATGGCGGAAGGGCTGAACGGCAAACCTCCTGGAGGTAGCTCTGCAGCTCGGGCCTTGTCTGTCTCGCCGGACAGGCGCGTTGAAGCGAGCGCCGAGGCGGAGGCATTGCATCTGCAAGGCGAGGCGGACGGCGCAACCGGCAACAGCTGGCAGCACGAAAACACGCCCAAGGGGCTCGAGTTTGCGGACGAGGCCAAGTTTTCGTCGTCGGTCGAGACGGTGCACACGACGAGCTGGGAGTCGAGGCACGTGCAGGCGGTGGCTTCGGCGTCGGTGCTCGCGGGGCTGTCGAGCGGCGAGGTGTCGACGTCGGAGGCGACGACGCCCGAGTCGTCGCGTCGACCGAGCTTTCACCATGGCGAGATGGGCCTGCAGCGTTCGTCGCCGAGGTTGCGGTCGTCGTTTGGCGAGACGGGATCTGCGCTGGACCATCTGGACGAGGACGAGTCGCAGGTGATGCGCGTGCGATCGATGAGCCGCGACGGGCATGCCAAGAAAAAGTCGACCAAGTGCCGATTCTGCCGGTCGTTGCGGCAGCGGCTCAAGGGGTCGAGTGCCGAGTCGTCTGCGCCGACGTCGTCGGGTGGATCTGCACAGATGACGGACGCGGAGAGCGAGAGTGCGGGCGCAAGTGCGAGTGCAATGGGCTCGATGGCGCGCGCGTCTCTGCACGTGCGTGAACTGACGACGAGCTCTGCCGAGGTGTCGGAGATGGAGGAGGAGGAGAGGGGATCGCGATCGCCCATCTCGCATCTGCGCGCCAGTGTGCGTTCGCTGAGCATCGAGTCGTCGGGCACGTCGCGCTCTCGGTCGCGCGATGGGTATGCGCTGTCGCATCTTGGAATCGGACGCGAGCCGCAGCACGACCGCGAGTCGTCCAACTCGCCTGCCGAAAGCTGTTCCGAGTCGGCGTACCTGTCGGCTGGCGGCCATGTGGCGAGCATGTGTACGTGCGACAAGAAGCGCGAAAAGGAGCGGCTCAAGAAGAAGCTGCGGCGCGAACGCGAGCTGGAGCGCGAACGCGACCGCGAGTGGGAGCGCGACCAGGCCAAGGGTCGCCAGAAGAAGCTGTTTGGCGAGAGCTTTGGCGATGCCGACAACAGCTGCCTCTCTGCGCTCGACGGCTTCTGAAGTCGTTCCATGCCACACACTGTCCACTCGCTCTATCCCGTCGTCATCCTATCCGTTCCTTTTAGCATGCCGCATCAGTGCTGCTTTCTCCCTCATTCATGGTTCGTATTCGCTAGTCTTCTCGATCCATCGTCAGTCTTTCCTGCATTCATCGTGGCTCGGGTGTGATGTTACAGTATCGTGGTGGTTGGGGTCGGGTGACGGCGATGTGACTGTGACTGTGACTTTGAAGAAGGAATCTCTTGTGTGCATTTTTAGGCTCCTTTTTGGAGGAGGCCATTTTCGGTTGATTTTTCCAAATGGATTTTCTTCGGAAGGGGGCTTTGAATAACGGAGCAGTGAGTCGAGGTGGGATGTTGTTGGAGTGAGGCGGTGAGGTTGCCGTGACATTGATGGCGAGACGGGCAACGGCGAAGCAGAGAAGGAGAGAGTGAAGGCTAGCCGTCGTATCGATGAACGAGATGTGCGGCTAGGGAGGATGGGTTGCTGCAGAGAGGCATGCACGTCGGTTCCACGACATGGTTCCGACCGAGATGCAGCGCCCAAGGTTGGCAGAGGTTGCGAGCCAGTGCGGTTGGGTTGCGGTGGATGCATGCGTGTGCGGCCGTCGTGCGGCCGTCGAGCCCCCCACTTTTTTTTCGACGCTTTTGGTGGGGATTTTTTTTACGCTCTCATCAGCTCACACTCACCGTCTGCTGTGCGCCTTTTTTTAATGGTTGGATTTCGCGCTCAGCAACGCCCGGCCGCACCGCACCGCGCCGACTCGATGAAGAGCAGCAGCTGCAGAACAACACTTTAGCGGCCCCTTTGTCGAGGCCAACTGCGCTGGGCCGGCGTGAAAATTGGTCGCGCGGCTGCCTGGAAATGCACGCACCGCACTGCACCGCACCGCACCGCACCTCTCCGCTCCGCCTTTCAAACCCTTTTTTTTTTT